TCACCACCAGGTAGTGATCAGTGGACAGCTCCGCCCCTTTCTTCACAGCTACTAAATTAGGGCATCTTGGTCCTTTCACGCATCTGCACCGTATTTATTACAGACAGCGGTTAGGTTTTTGAAGTACCTAATAAAATAGTTTGTGTGAAAAACTAACAGTATTCTTTGATACACAATATAGCTCGTTTGGCTCAGACATCAAAATATGATTAATCTGTGTCTAGTTTTTTTTGGATGGGTGTTTGCTCAGTAGGCCTGTCACAATAACAAATTTTACTGGGCAATTAATTTTCTCAAAAATTATTGCGATAAACGTTAATATTGATTGACATTTGAAAATAATCAGTAATTCTTGTCAAATTGAAGAAGAAATGTTTAATTTGTTTTGCGTGTAGTACCTTTTTTCGACCACCAGATAGCAGTATAAGATTGTAGGATGGATAGTGAGGGAGCAAGCAGCGTGTCTTGATGGGAGGGAGGCCCCTTGAATTATGTTTTCTGTTTTATATTTTTATTCCATGTGCTGTAAATATATCTTGTTACTTTTTATTTGATGTGATATTTTTGTTAAGCACTTTGGTAACAGTTTCTGTTTTAAATGTGTTCTATAAATAAATCTGACGTGATGTGTGCTGTCTCTCTTCGGTTCTCAAAATGGCGTATGCTCGGTGTGGTTTGAGCTCTTTAGCATTACATTTTTAACACAAAACTTTTAATAAAATATCAGTAAACAAGTTCTCAGCTTCTTTTTTGCAGAGAAAACTTTTTACATGAAGGCACGGGTTTCAACCATGAATTTTGGAGCTTTGAAAAGACGGAAGTTTTTTTCCCCGAGGTCGGCCTGTTAGCTTAGCTCGTAGCTTAGCTTCTCAGCTTAGCTGCTTTTAACGATCCAAAAAACGTGATTTTGGACGGATAAAATGTATTTTAAAGAGAAAGGTAAACTTAAAAATAACAGCTGCATGTAGACTGTGGGTCGTGTTTGCAGGAAAAGAACATTTTAGGTTTAAAACTGGTCGTTATTTGAACTTGTTGCAGTCAGACCAAAACAAGCTCATCATTTGTTTTGTCTTTGTTTAGCTCTACTTTGAAGACAAGGAGAAGGAAACACTTTACCAAATTGATCCTGAAACATCACTTTCAAAAACACTTAAACACAAAAGGTATGTATCTTTTCTGTTACATGGAATGTATTCAAATATACATTTCTGTTTTAGATTTAGTCAATTCCAGTTTGACTTTTATTTATTGTATTACTGCATAATATAGGACACACCAATGACATCATTATTAGTATCTGAGTAAACAATGTCAAAAGGTACTTGTTCTTAATTGTCTTTGAGTTTGATATTTTATCATTTAAACAGTTTAACAAAATATTGACTCATTTTATAGTTGAGTGTTTGTCTAATAATGTTCAAACTATCCTAACCGGCTGGACTTTTAGGGGTTGACTTCTTTTCACTTAGTTTGGTATAATTTGTTACTCGTTTTATAAGAACTTGAGATAACATTTTGTTCATCATTTTTAGGATCAGTGATAATACAACCAGTAATTGTATAAAACTCTTTAACACTGAGTGTAATTAGGAGAACACAGATAATCAGGCTCTAACGTTAAGGTGAGGAAAACAAAACATTCAATAAATCAAAACTTTTAAATCAAAATATGTAGAAAAACCGCAGCCAATTTTATTTATTTATTTATGTTTTGAAATGCTTTTTTTGTCTTCTTAATCTCCATATGCTATTTATGTGTATTGGTATTATTACACATTACTTTTTTTATAATGTTTAAGTTTGGTTGCAGTGTAATGTTGTGTTTGTCATTTTCAAAATAGTCTTGCTTCCTGTGATTTTAGGAAACCAGTGTTGTAATTAATCCCTGCTGCCATTTTTTTTAAACTGAGTAATAAACGTCTCCTCATGCATTCTCAATAATCCAGGTAAATAAATCTAAGAAGGTTGAGTCAGGTCCTCTGGATGAAGTCTTTATTTGTTGAAAAGTTTCATCTTTTATCCAAAAGTCTTGATAGTAAATTAACTAGCTTACACACAAAACTAGATGTTCACATGCAAAATTCTGTGAATAGCAAGCGGCCATCAGGGCACTAACGATCAGTCGTTAGGCTGATGGTTCTCCTTTTACATGTGAACAGCTAGTTTTATCTGTCACCAGCAAACTGGTTGAGCCACTATGAGAAGGGAATATTTATAAGACTGAGTTTGTTGCAGCTCCTCAGCCTGAAGAAGTCTTTTGAAGAAAATATTAAACATTTCAACAAAGAAGTATCCGTTCAGAGGACCTGACTCAACCTTGTTAGATGAGTAATAAACGATCATCACTGATGTTTGAACATGATGAGGACCTTGTTGGCAGGTTGCCTGGTTTCACTTGTTATTGACCCTAAAGCAGCGTGTTCATTAAGCAATTGATGTTCGTTCAGCATTGATTATTTACATTTTTGTACCCTGTGCTGAGCTAAAATCATCAGTTAGGAATGTTTTCGACTAAGTTTCCTTATATTGACTTCCTGTCCTTTCTGTCTTTAACAGGTTTTTTGTCAAAGCAGGCACGCCAAGCTTCCTGGTTTTGGTAAAAGGCTCGTCATTCCAGAAGCAGTTTTTAACAGGAAATAAAGTGCATGTGTTGTAAACATCTTGGCCTTCAAAATTTGTACTTTGAATAGGAATAATGAAAAAATGACTGACTGGTGTTTGAAGACGACAAAAGAAATAATTCAATAAATTTTACAGTGATGTTCATGGATAAAGATTAACATGCTGAGTCGTCATTTTAGTTGTAAAGGTTTTCTTTTTTTTAATCAATTACAGGAAAATAAATTGTTCAGGTTCAGACAAAGTATCTCTTAGAAGTCTAAAATAACATGAGACAAAGTTCTTTTTTTTTTTCTTTTTTTTTTAGATTAAGTTCAAAACTATGCAAATCATTAGTATAAAAACTTGTTCAATTTATTTAAAAAATATAGATTTTATTTTAATGTTCTCATATTTTTATTTTTATTAGTACACGTAAAATAAAATAAAAATAAATGCCTATACTGTACAGTTCTTAGGGCATTGGAATAATTCAGTAATAAAATATAAATTGTAAGAATCTGCACATAAAGTGAAATTAAGCCTAATTATTTTAAGTTGTTGGACTGGTAAATTTAAATGTGAGGTCAAAGTTCAGGTTTTTTTTTTACATTTTTTTATCAATGCTGCAGATGAAGCAAACACACTCAGCACCTGAAACCCAGGCAGATGAAAAAAGTAAAGAAACCCACAAACGCTTCATGTGAATCTGGGAACTTTATTTATTGTTAAATGTTTTCTTCATGAAAGCAGTCGCAGTTCACTGCTCCATGTCGAGTTGTTTCCATCACATCTTAGAGTTCAATCACAAACGTTGGTTACGTACTGTAACCCCAGATTCTATGAATATAGGCGTAGCCCTTTAAGGCTGTCGCTGATGGGTTTATCCCGTTATGCAGAGCATAAGCACTGAAAAAAATTAGTCCACGCCCACCTGCTGTGTGGGCCCCACCCGGTCCGTATAAATTACGTTAAGAGCGGGAAATCGGCTCCCAAAATAGCTTTTTTCTTCAGCCATTTAGGAGCCAGTGAGGCCCGACGCTTAAAGGGCTACGCCTATATTCATAGAATCTGGGGTTACAGTACGTAACCAACGTTCTATTTCATATAGGCTTCGCCCTTTAAGGCTGTCGCTGATGGGTTAAGGGCGAAGCGGATGTGGTCCTCGCCTCACTGGGTCCATTCGAACACAGTAAGAAGCGGAAGCTTGCCCAAAAAACGTCTTGTCACCCAGCTCCCCGTGTGCATAAACTACGCATCGCGTAATTATGTGCCATGCACAGACGCATGTTGTGTAACTATGCGTTCTGACAAGCATGAATACCCCGGAAAAACTTTCAACGGGAAGAGGAAGTTGAAAAGAGGGGGGGAGGGGGGCATGAACCAACTGGTTCATGGCTGAACAGTATAAACAGATTAATGTCCATGAATTGATAAATAATCAAATGAACTGATTGGTAACAATAATCATGAACTGATTAGTGACAATAGAACCAGAAACACAGACACGACTGTGACTGATAACAACATCTCACACTGTAATGCATGCAGACAGAAGTGAGCTTAAACAGAGTTCCATGAGAACAACAATATTCATTCTGTTAGAGCACTAAGGACAGAATGTGTCATGGAACGAGCCGTTACATCACGTAGGTAAAAGCGAATAAATGAGCAGGGTGTTGACCATGCAGCCGCAGTGCAAATGTCCTGCATTGACATACCATTATGCAGAGCACTCGAAGATGCGATACCCCTGGTCGAATGTGCTTAGAGGTTGACAGGAGGCCCTAAATCTGATGCTCTGTAGGCTTCAGAAAAGGCCTCACACAGCCAGTGTGACAAGCGCTGGATGGATAACGGCGACCTGCAGAAGCATCTCTATAATGCACAAACAATTGTTGAATTTGAACGCATTGCAGCTGTGCGCGTTACGTAACACGTCAACGCCTGCACCGGGCAGAGAAAATGAACAGATGCTTCCCCTTCTGATCTGTGGGGGGGAAAAAACCCCTCCAACGATATCACTCTTGATTTAAAAGAGCTCGTGATGTTTTAGGCATAAAAGCTGGGTTGGTCTTAAATCAGCTGAGCTGCCCGTCAGCCTAATTCTAAGGCATGACGAAGCAACAGAGAGGGCAGATAATTACTTACCCTCTTAGCGGGTGTTAAAACCAGCAACAGGGCTGTTAAAAGAGACAAGAATTTAAATGAAACCTGATCCAGAGGCTCAATTGAAGCTTTGATCAGGGCTCGCAGGACCAGCGTTAAACCCACTGTGGAACAAGTGGGCGTGAAACAGGCCTACATCTCTGTACACCTTTTAGAAACCGCTTCATCAGCGGGTGATAAAAGCTGTTCTGTCTCCAAACCCTTTGTGGCAGGAAGAGATGGCTGCAATCGTACGTTAAAGCGTACTGAAAGCCAACTCCCTATCCATCAGCTGTTGTAGAAAAACAACACGCCGCCTAAAAGGCATGAAGTGGTCTCTAAACCTTCTCTGTACACCAGCGCTGAAAAGCCGTCCCCTTGATGTGTACAGAACTGTGGTAGATGCAGCACGTGAATCTTGAATTGTGCACACTATCTCCTGAGGGAGACCCATCCTCTAAGTGGAACCGCTCAGCGGTCAGACCCACCGGTGTTGACCTATTTCTGGGTAACTCTTGGTCGCTCCTCCTGCCTGAAGGAGAGCATCCTTCCTCCATAACAGTTCCACGGCGACCCAACAACAGACGTTGCAGGCCTGGGAACCATAGTGCGTTCACACGCCGGGAGCCACCAGGAGAGCTGTCAATCCCTCCTCTTGAACTCGGTTCATGGACCGTAAAAAACAGAGGAGGTGGGGGAAAAGAAACGCGTAAAAAGCGTTTTGGGCCACCGACTGTGAGCAAATGCGTCCCCCCCCAGCGATGGATCGTCTCGCGGGCTCAGGGAAAACCGTAGTTGACATTGAGCGTTCTTCTCGCATCGCAAACAGGTCCACAGCTGCTTTGCCAACTTCTGCTGCGTCTGAAAACATCAGATCCGGATGGAGGATCCGGTCCACGTAACGTGGACCGCCCTTGGACGTCACATCAGCCCCTCTGTTCAGAACACCGGATATGTAAACCGCTCTAATAAAAGCAGGTTTTGATGAACCCAACTCAGTAGCTTTCGCACAATGTGTAACATCTGGGCTGAACGCACACCCTGATGGTTATGTACGCAGCAGTCATCATGATGTCTGTGTGAATCAACACGTGTTGATTCTGTAGCACAGGAGCAAGGTGTTGAATCACATTCAGTACTGTGCGACACTCCAAAACATTGATGTGGGCTGATGTGTAGTGGGGCCACAGCGCCCCTACTGCTTGAGATAGGCATGTCCCCCCCCCAGCCTGACAGCAACGTGTCCGTGAAGACTGACCCATGACGTGGGTCTGCTGAGGGGGACTCCCTCTGATAGAAAAACAAGGTGTTTCCCCAGAGTCGGAGGTCTGCTTCCACAGAGGAAAAGACAATGATCATCCGTCGTTTGTTTTACTGGATCCACATGCAGACGTGCAAAAACACCTCTAGAGGCGTCTCATGTGATAAACGAGTTTTCATGGTGGTTGAATTTAATTCCACTCCAGAAAACAAATGTCTGGGCCGGGAAAATCGAGCTTCCTTCCACTTTATGGCGAAGCCCAGATTAACAGGTGTGATGTCAACACCTGATCCTGCATCAGCGCCTCCTGTGTGAATTGACAGGAGCAGCAGATCATCCAGGTAAAACAAAAACTCTCGTCTCTGTGTTAGGATGATCGGTATGCGTTCTCTGGATGTTAAACAACAGATCCAAGAACGGTCTCACCCCTCCGATCCGTGAGTAAAACCCTCGTGTTTTCTCTCCCTTGGGGAACTCTGTAGATTACTTTTATCAGAAAACACTTGGATTTCTGCATTTAGGGAAGAGAATCAGTCTGATGATGACGGGACCGTTTATATAACTCCTCTGAATGGAGGGGTTCGGGTTGCAAACTGTAACTTGTACCATTTGCATAAACCCTGTCCATCCATCTGAAAAACGGCGAGCATGTTTTAGCCACTCTACGTAACGTTCGTGGATGAACGTGCGTTAATGATGCGTCATGTTTTGTACGGCTGTCAGCAGTCCGTCCCTCAACCGCCGTCATGCGTCGCGGGAATGTTTTCTGTGTGACCCCGGGCGAGACTTGAGCTGAAGGCGAAGCGTGTGACAGCTGATGACGCGGTGAGCTGCGCGTTTGACGTCGCTGTGCGAACGTTGAAAGGCGGAGGGCGTGACTTCATTTACACCGTGCTGTTGGAGTGAAGGCTGCTTAGCCCCGCGGGAGCACACGTTGTTCTCTGGAGGGACGCGCGCCGCTCTCGCTGGAGGGGCGCGCGCTGGAGGGAGGTGGGACTCATTACCGGGTTCTTCGGCTGCTTCACGTTTAAGCTGCGGTGAGCTGCCGAAAGCTGAGAGAGAAGGACCCCCACCCGGACCAGCCTGCGGACCATATTTATACCGATGTGAGCTGGTTAGCGCCGGCAGCTGTGTGCGCCAGCATCAACGCAACACCGTTGGATGGAGGCTGTCATCTTAGTGTTCGACTCGTCATGTCAAGAGCGGCGGTGAATTAAAAACCCTATTTAAGGACACCGGCTCATGTGGAGGCTGTTCCATCCCACGAGTGCGAGTTGACACCGCTTGAGTGAGGATCATGCAGTTCTAGTTGGTAATGAGTTATTTTCGCTTACCGTTGTGCCGTGATCGACCCGTCATGTCTAGAGCGACGGTGAGTTTAAAAAACCTTTATTTAAGGACACCGGCTCATGTGGAGGCTGTTCTGTGATCGACTCGTCATGTCTAGAGCGACGGTGAGTTTAAAAACCTTTAATTAAGGACGCCGGCTCATGTGTGGAGGCTGTCCTGTGATCGACTAGTCATGTCTAGAGCGACGGTGAGTTAAAAAACCTTTAATTAAGGACACCGGCTCATGTGTGGAGGCTGTTCTGTGATCGACTCATCATGTCTTAGAGCGACGGTGAGTTACAAACCTTTATTTAAGGACACCGGCTCGTGTGTGGGGCTGTTTCATCCCACGAGTGCGCTCTTATGTGTGCGGCCGCTGTGAGCTCATCCGGGCTTACAGACTGGCTAAAAAACAGACACTTGGATCATTAATGATGATTTATTTCAACTTTCGTGTCACTTTTACACACACCCTCCGGAGACCGTCATTTGAGAGCTTTCTCTCTCATGAGCTCTGCGATTGTTTGCCCAGAGCGCTGTCTTGCAGGCGAACTCTGGGGAAACGCTGAGCTGCAGGCTGCCGGAGTGAAGAGGGCTGGATTCTGACGGGCGGGGCTGGTGGTGGAACTCAGCGAGAGCCGCGGCCGTGGAAAAGTCGAAAACTTGCTCGCGACGGTCCCTCCAGCGGGGACGGGGTGGGCCGCGCGGCTTGATGAGGTGGCGAACAGCTTTTGGCACCTCCTCCGACTGTTTCACTTCGCCAGCATGGTTTGAAGCTGCTCTGAACAGCGCGTCCGCGATGGGCTTCATCAGGTCTTGTGCAGATTCTCCGGCAGCGAGGGGAGTAACGAAGCCAGGTGGATCGTTGGGTCATCGTCCTCCGCGCTGCAGTCCCCGACAAGGCAAACCGTGGGAGAGGCACACATGTTGAGCTGGCGTCAGCTGCTTTACAGAGGGAGATCTTCGTCTCCAAGGCAGGTCTGCGGCCTTCAATCCCTTGGACATGCTATATGCTAGCAGCGCACGTTGTTGCTAGCTGCGGCTGCCTGAAAAACACGTCGGTGGGCTCGATTGGAGAGCGTGGTCGCCGTCTGTGTTCCTCCGGAGGGACGGGACGCTGCTCCGACCTGGGCAGCTTCGTTCCGGAAGCTTCCGCGAGGCTTGGCTCCAGGGGGGGGTACCGAGGAATAGCGTCAGCTGCCTTACAGAGGGAGTTCTTCGTCTCCAAGGCAGGTCTGCGGCCTTCAGTCCCTTGGACATGCTATATGCTAGCAGCGCACGTTGTTGCTAACTGCGGCTGCCTGAAAACACGTCGGTGGGCTCGATTGGAGAGCGTGGTCGCCGTCTGGTTCCTCCGGAGGGACGGGACGCTGCTCCGACCTGGGCAGCTTCGCTCCGGAAGCTTCCGCGAGGCTTGGCTCCAGGGGGGGTTACCGAGGAATAGCCCCGCTCGGTGAATCCCTCAACTCTGGTGATGGGAGCGGACTGGGGACCGACTCCTCTAATCTACCAGGAAAGAACCGTCTGCGGCCTCGCCCGTGGAACGTCCTGTTGGAACGCGAGGCCGTATGGATCAAGACGGTGAGCCAGGGTGGAGCCCAGTGAAATATAACCTTTCCGCCGATCATCCGAACTGGCGGGAAAAGGCGAGGGACGTAGAAAAAAGGGGTCCCTTCATGTCAGCCTCCTCCTGGGTTCCGCCGGGCAACCCCTGAGGGCGCCGTCGGCCGGGAGCGGTGTGATCGCCGATGCGAAACGAGGTGGGATGGGGTGAGCATTCACTCAGCCCCCCTCCACCTACACTACGCTCCCCAGGAGGGAAAGAGCAGCGGGGCTGCAGCTGAGCACGCCTTGCCCCGGAGGAACCATCCGGTTCGCCCCGAGGGTCGGCGATAAGAGGAAAAACACAAGATGGCGTTGTCCAGCGTGTAGTGACCTGTCACTGGGAAATGTTCCACGACGCTTACCTTGGAATAAGACTGCTGTCATCTTCTCCTCGGGGAGGAGAACTCACCGGACGACCGGAGGTCGACTGCCGGGCCAAGCATCTTTCGCAAAGGTTGGTCATTTACACAATTTATCTTCTTTGTTCTTCTGACAGTGCTATATTAGCTCGCTGAAGAAAAAATGGGAGCCGATTTCCCGCTCTTAACGTAATTTATACGGACCGGGTGAGGCCCACACAGCAGGTGGGCGTGGACTAATTTTTTTCAGTGCTTATGCTCTGCATAACGGGATAAACCCATCAGCGACAGCCTTAAAGGGCGAAGCCTATATGAAATAGAACAATAAATGCTTAACTGATTAAATTGTACAAGGAAGGAAACAACATTTAGAAAAGCATGTGCTAAGAATTTAGTTTCTTTGCAGCAGGAAACCAAACCCATTAAATGTAACATCACATAAATGGGTACAGCTACTTCCCTATGAATGGCATTCGATTTAAAAAAATCTTGTTGCAAAACTTGTTTTATGAACTTAAACATTCTTGTACAGCTTAAAGGAAATAGCCACTGTGGAAGAAACTCAAATTTTGACTGGTTTGTCTAGATTGTTTAGAGTCTAGTGGAGATTTAATTTGCATTTTCTTCAACGGTTTCTTTTTCTCTTGACACTCCTCCATTAAGCTTAGACCGATGAAGAACTCTGGGAACAGGTGTTGTATGCTCAGCCTCTTCCGTTTCACCTGCTGGAGCTTGTAAGTCCTTCAGAGTGGTCCCATGTCAGTTTTTCTTGTGCACAGTCAGTGTGAGGATGGCCTGCTCAAGTTAGATTTACACAGGTCCCATATTCCTTTCATTTCTTGATGAATTTAACAGAACGAGATGTTCAGGATCTTAGAGATGCTTTTGTATTCATCCCCTGACTAGTACTCAAGAATCATTTCTAACAGTCACTTTAAATGGGGCAAATATTTATGCAATCACTTATCTTACAGTTTGTTTTTGTAGAACATTTTTCAATTTGACATTGAAGAGTTTTTCACTCTCTTTTTCTGAAAGAATGATAAATTTATATTAACCTTGATTGATTAATGGCAGAATATAAATATTAATTGTGCAGCAGAGAACAAACCGAAACGCCTTATTTTTCTACTTCTGTGGTTCTACTTAACTTCAAACCCTGGTCCTCCACCAGAAGCCTGGGAGCTTTGATGGTTCTGTATCTGTTCTGGGACTGCACTCTTCTGAACAGTCAAAGTGGAGTGTCCCACTTTGATTCTGGGCCCTCCAGTTCATACTTGACATTCCTTTATATTATTCCAGCCCCTTGGTTATGGTGTTCAATGTATGCTTTACCTGCCCGGATCTTACATCCTGCTACTATGTGTTGGATTGTCTCGGGCATCTTTGCACAGCCTGCAAGTTGGGTCTTGGCTGGTATGGTAGACCCTGGCCTCCATTGCTCTTGTGCCGAGGGCCTGTTTTTGTGCTGCCATGATTATTGCCTCTGTGCTGTCCTTCATTCCTGCCCTCTCTAAACACTGGTAGGATTTGTTGATATCAGCCACTTCCTCAACCTGCTGACAGTACATTCAGGGCCTTATCTTTCCATGGTGGCCCCTCTTGTTCCTCTTCTTCCACACTGGCTTTCTACTGCCTGAGACATTCACTCATCAGTTCATCATTGGGGATTCCTACCGATGTACATTAGGATCTTAGTTGTTTCATCCAGTCATCATAGTGACTTTGACGCTAACTCTGCCACTCTCCTTTCGCTTGGTGTATAGTCTCAGGGTGCTGGACTTGGGGTGAAACCCTCCATGCATTGTGAGGCGCTTTTGAGTCGATGTCATTGGGTTCTATCTCCTCCTTTGGCCAGATTATTATACCAGCTGAGTATTGGCACTGCATACGTGTTGATGGCTTGGACTTTGTTCTTTCAGCTGCCTCTTCAGGACCTGCCTTTCTACTTGGTTGTGGCTGACTTTCTTGTGGCCTCATGATTGCCATTTGCCTGTGGGATTTCAAGGTATTTGTTTCTGTCCTAGACATCTGCAATGCTGCCTTCAGGTAGTCTTTAGTTGTGATCACCTTGCCTCTTTTAGATAACGTTAGCCAACAATTATCCAGCCTGACTGACATTCCAATGTCTTTGCTGTATATCCTGGCTAGGTGTAACAGTGAATGTCTTTCTCATTGTTGACATACAGCTTGATGTCATCCTTGTAGAGTGGTGACTGATGATTGTTCCACTTTGAAGCTGGTATCCATAGTGACTCTTTGCAATGATCTAGCAGATGGGGTTCAGGCAGGAGTGGAGACAGGACATCACATTTGATGCTGACTTCAACTTGTGCAACTGGCTTTGAATTGGCCTCTTGAGCTGTCTTCCACATTATTCCCATTGAGTTCTTGGTGATAGTGACCTATTGATATTGTAGAGTTTCAAACACTCCAGTATCTGTATGTGGCATCAACCCATAGGGTATAGCCCTCTGGGTAATTTCTATTCATTTGCAAAGTTTCATCTATCCTGAAGCTTTATAAGAACAATTGGAAATTTGCTCATTTTGAATTTCTCCATGTGACACATATGGGAGTCACAAAATAAACTTTATAAATCAGAAAGTGATGCTGCAATTTATTTAGTTTTTTTGCTTTAATCTACACAATCCCAGTAAAATATGTTGATGTTTTTGAATCCTATTTGCATTTGGAGCTCAAAAAATTCAAGACATAATTTTATTCATAGGTTTTATTGCAAATGTACAGTTTTCATGACAATTAAACAGAAGAAAATCCATCATGCTATTATATTATATTATAAAAGGGAAACCATATAAAAAGTGCATCAGAGCAAAACACAATGATTGAATTAAATCAAGCTTCCTTGTGGGTTTTGAAGCCTTTACAGGCCTTATGGTTTCACTTTCCCACTGACATCGAGGTAGATGTACTAGTCTGCAGGTTGATGACAGTTTGTGGTTGCTTGTGGACAACCTCCGTTTCTTTCTTGTCTTTATGCTTCAGCTGTCGATGCATCTGACACCAGGAGCAGCACACACAGAAGCAGGAAACGACAATGTCGTTACAGAGAGAGCCCTGCACACAAGCACATCAAAACACAGGTTAACTTTTCCTATAAATTTAGGTAAATTTACTGTCTCACACATCATACCTTAATGTCATATTTGTTCCTCATGGCAGACCTAAGAGACAAGGCTGCAGGGGGAACGCACAAAGGTATCCCACAGGCAGCAAAAACTGCAGGACTTAACACGTCACATACTGGGAGACAGGAATTCTCTCCAAAATTCCCTGCAACATTGCAGGCAAGGCAAGGACAGCACCAGAAACCATAGCAGCCTGAAAAACATAAATGTCAAATAAAAAATAATGCAACTGTCATAAGTGATGGTAATGCTTTCATTTAGTAAATGATAATAATAATACGTTTGTTTCTTACAAGTGTTTATATCAGCACAGCAGCTGCAGAGACCACTGCTCCAGTTCTTTGTCTTCCCCATCTTATTAAATGCGAACAGTTAAAATGTTATTTGTGAGATCAGATTGTACCAGGAAAAACTGAGTTTCAACACGATGCTGAATTTTTATCATTTTATCTTTACAGTTGAGAGAGTGGAGCAGGAAACAAACTTACAAAATAAGTCATATAACGGAAACTGCTGCAAACTACTACTTTTCTTTTCCATATATGCTCTTATCGTGTTTTGCAAACCTTGTTTCTTTGAACTTAAACATTCATTTTACAGTGACATAAGCATCTATTCATTGGATTGCACGAGTTGTCAGAAACTTTACATAATCATAATATCCATCCATCCATTATCTTTACCCGCTTCTTTCATTTTGGGTCACGGGGGTCGCCGGTGCCCATGTCCAGCCATCACTATGTGAGGGACGGGGTACACCCTGGATGGGTCGCAAGTCCATCACAGGGACACATAGAGACAAACGAGACAAACAACCATTCACTCTCTCACTCACACCTAGGGACAATTTAGAGTTACCAATCAGCCTAACATGCATGTTTTTGGTGCATGTTTTTGGTGCATGTTTTTGGTCCGTGGGAGGAAACCGGAGTACCCGGAGAAAAGGCACGCATGCACGGAGAGAACATGCAAACTCCACCCAGAAAGGTTTGAACCAAGGACCTGCTCACTGGGAGGCAGCAGCTCTACCAGTTGCGCCACCGTGCTGCCCATAATAGTGAAAATAAAAATGACTTTTAACAAAAACAACAGTAAATTCAGTTAGAGCTGAAAAAGATCCAGCTTATTGAAACTAATCTAATTTAACCCAGTTAATGTTTAACTTAAGTCTAATTCGTTGTGGTTTTATTAACAAATATAGTTTTAAATTGCCACATGCACAGGTTTGAGAGCAAAGAATAAGAAATTAGACAAACACATATCTTATTCCATACCCTGCAGGTTGAGTTAACTAAGAAAGCAATTGTGCGAGTTTTTAAGGAAATAAAAGTCCCTCTTTGTTTGGTCACCTTAACCGTTCATGAATAAGAGGTTTATCAGGTTAAACACAAAAATTCTGCAAATCTCAAAGTGTAAGGGCTAAAAACAAAACTACATGATTTTTATTACATCCAAGTTAAATCTACAGATGAATAATGTAAAATTTAAAGCATTAATTGTAAATATAATTGTAACAAGAAAATGTCACATATTGTTCTTTGGTTAGTTACAAACAGATCATGTGGAACAAATGGAACCATTTTCAGGATAATTATCTTTTACGATTTTTTTTTTTGTTTTTTACATATATTTTACGAAACTATGACGAGAGCAAGAGAGTAACAATTCATGTTTTAGGTGAATTTTATTTACATTTTATGTTTTTTTCGCAATTTGTTCAGATTTTTGTTTTAATTTCCTTTAAAACAGATTTCAATGCATTTTTATCCAATTATTAACATGTTAAGCGTTTCCAGGCGTTTTTAGAATGAATGCTCAACTATTGCAAATTTTCACTTACAAATATCTTTCATCATTTCAAATATATGAAAGATCAAATGGTAGAAAACAATTATTGCTTTTCTGTATTTAAACATTGTGCTTTTTAATGCACATTAAAATATCAGTACTGTCCTTGAAGAACTAGTAAACTTGAAAATGTCACAACATGCTACACATGCTAACAATGCTCCCCAAAACAGGAAGCAGCTAAATAAAATTCCTTTTTTAAAAGCAGAAAAACTAAATAGTTTGGAGCTCCTTTTTGCAATTTAATTTACATAATTTTATTATCAGCCTATTTATACAGCTTGTAAACAATTTTAAAATGTTATTTTTTTTTTTCAAGAACTTTACATTTGATCATGTTATGGTTACCTATTTTATATATTTAAAAAAAAAAGTATCTAAGCATACTGACATGTAAAATACTTACTTGGCAAACTGTTCTTGCTCTTGTGGGGGACCTTGTTTTCACCTCAGCAGCTGTCAGGGAATGAGATGGTCGGTGCAGAGGTGGTCTAATTTATGTACATTCAAAAATCTGCAAAATGCTACAAAACCTGTCAACCTTGAATTGAAAACTTTACACGGAAATTGACATTCAAGTTTGGATAGGGGACTTTTTAAATTTTTAATTATTATTATTAATCAGTTTCCTCATTCTGTGTGAATACCACTCATTCCAAAGCGATTACACCAGTGGTGTATTCTGAAAAAGTTCAGTTTGTTACTTCTGATCTGCTGCGACGTATCAAACAAACCACAGTCCCAAAGCTTTTTTGGTAAAATTAAATTTATGTTTGATATTAAAATAAAACCCCTCTTTTTCTAATACTTCCTGTGACTCCTCTTGCTTTTCAGCTTGGTCCATCACAATGTTGCACATGCATATTATACTTTTTCAAACAGGGCAGTTAAATTACCTCACTAAAATGCACAAATTCAACACCAGACCTCCAGAGTTTATGATTTGTGTTTAATGATTTAATGAAATGTTTATTGCTGTTGCTACAACCTACACCATGCAGTAAATATACATTTGAAGTCTAAATCAAGTTCTAATTTAACTGTTTGATCAGTTTCAAGATATAAAAAAGGCACTTTCAAATTTACTTAATGTATAGTCAGAAAAATCAGTATGGATCCTGGATGGTTCTTTTCTGGTCCACAACATCAACCAGAAGAGGGTCCACAGGGATCATCATCTCCAGAGCAGGCTCCAGAGCCGGCTGCATGTTGACAACAGCTTGAGGCTGCATATTGATGACGACTGGGGTTTGCTTACGATATTTTAACTCCCGATGCATCTGACACCAGGAGCACCACCCGCAGCAACAGGAAATTAAAATGTCCTCACAGATGGAGCCCTGAAAAAGAGCACATTAAATATGTTTACTTTGTTTTCATTTCGTACTATAGAGGGTCAATGTGTCATGCAGTCATACCTTGAGACTGTATTTGTGTCTCATAGCGACTCTTGTAGCCAAGACTGCAGGAGGAACAAATATAGGGCATCTATAGACGGTGCTTAAACACCCAGAAAGCACATCACATAATGGAAGACAGGTGTTTTCTCCAAGTCGTCTTGAAACAGTGCAGGCCAAGCTAGGGCCGCACCAAAAACCATAGCAGCCTGTAATAGACAGGAGTGTATAAATACGATGTGATGAAATGATCTTTAGAGATTTTTCCACTTTTATTTGCTATAAAAAATATTAAGTTTGACTCTTACAGGTGCTGGGATCTTCAAAGCAGTCAAACAGCCCACTGTCCCATTCTGTCAGAGATGTTTCTGCCATCACTTATAGAAATTCAGCCCTAAATGGAGATAGAGAACTCCGTGAGATCAGATTGTAAGAAAAAGAATCAACACAATAGGACTTGAAAATAAGACCAAACATTATTTAGAAAATCTTAGTTTTTTGTTGTTGCCTGGCTGTACCTCAACTTTTGTAATTTCACATCAAACCTTTTCATCTTTAGCAGATTTTGTCACTTCTCTTTAAAATATATTGTTATATTACATTGAAGGTTTTATGGTTATTTTAAAAATATCAAGAGATGCCTTTCATAAAGGAATTGGTTATTATTGGACATTATGTGTGTTCTACGGAGCCCCAGAGGGGACATGGGGAATTTTTTTTCCTTTTGCATTCCCACTCAAACGTTATTGCGTTCCGTCGCAATACTGTACCGTATGTCGTGTTACGTCACTGACGACCGCAACAGTGGAACAGTCACCTGTAATTTGAAGTTCATGGAGTTTTTTTGAAATCAGCTTTAAATATAAGGACATCCAGTGTGTGCTGCAGTGGTAAAATTAGTTTTATGTTGGATATTTCACGTCCAGGCTCCATGGATTCAGCGGTGGCTTCCTCGTTCGAGCCGACGCAGGCAATCTGATTCCGTCCAGCTGACAGCTGCTCTGTTAGTGATGTGCATATTGGTGCTAAAATATTGATACTATCGATAGCAGAACGCGTCGCTCTAGAATCGATGTTTAAATCAAACTATCGATACTTTTGATACTTCAGTAATTTCTGGTAATGCATATAATCAACAGGAAGATGGTGGAAAGTAACTAAACTATTGAGATCTTGCCTAAATGATATGTGGTTGGAGGGAACTACTTTTTCTTCCACCTGTGTAAATGTGTAATGCGTTTGAGCGGAGCGGCACGCTGCTCGTCAGTCTCTCAGTCTATAGACACAGCGATGGAGTTTAACAGAGTCATGTTTGGAGTTATTTCAGCTCCAGAAACGGCCAAGAAGCGGTTTGTGGAAAATCTGTAAAGAGCTGTAGCAACACAACAAACCTTGTAAAACACTTCCGGTTAAATCACAACACAGAATATGAAGCGTTGATGAGGTGGACAGAGGAGGAGAGTCAGGTGCTGCTGCTCTGGAGGAGTCCCTCAGGGCTGCAGAACTATCCAGGTACATGAAATGTGGAGTTTTCAGCTGAGCTAAGAACTGTTGCAGTTGGTGTTCATATTAATACATATGGTTATGAAATAATTAGCAAAATAAATTCATGCTTCAACAAATAGTTGCATGAGTTCAGTTTGGAGTAATAATATGTGTATCACTGAGATAATCCTTAGATAGAGAACTTTACTAATTGGCTTTTTTATGTATGTGGATGTTCCTGTAAAGTGCCCTGAGACAACTTTGCTGTGATTTGGCGCTCTATAAATTGAATTGAATTGAATAATCTCACATGGGCAAAAAAGTCTAGATTTATTCATGTAAGGTTTCATAAAGAATAGATCATTTAAAGTGGATTACATCAGGTGTCATCAAATTATACAGAGCAATGGAGTGAAAACAGCCTTGGTGAACTCTGAAAAATATATACTACAAAAATGTGTATAAAAATATAACATATTATCTTAAACATATCTCATTATTTAATAGATATTTAATACTTTATTTTAATAGTTTTTATGATTTTTCTTATTTTTATTGTTTGAAAAAAACATTTTCACATATTTTGTGTGATGTCCTGGCTCAGACTAAATGAGGCCACTGCATCCTGAGTTTAAAATAAATAAATTGCTTTGCATTCTTTATGCAACTTTGATTTGAATACACTGCTTTTTTTAGGTTTACCTGACACATTAGGCATATTTGCAAAAAGTATCAGTATCTGTACCGATACTCGCACAAATTTTACCCGGTATCGTATCGGGCCAGAAAATCCTGGTATCAAACAACACTACTGTCTGTCCCTCCTCCCAGGAGCGATGGTTCTTTTAGGGACCGTCAACAAATTACCAAGCTAATGAGCTTGGTCTGAACACAATCATATTTTAGATGTATTTCCAGAGTACTTGTCAAAGCAGCACCATGTATCATAAGTTTTCTCAGTATACTTCTGCATTGTAATACATCATGAATTTTCTCACCATTTAAAATCCAAAAGAACAAGGTGGCACTTGCGTTTCAAAAGTACTGTAACTTTCTTTTCAAACATCAAAGTTAATTCTCAATCATCCAGTTACAAAATACTATAATGGTCAGTCAGGTCATCTGGACAGTTACGCTTTTGTGGAAAGACGTTTCACTCTATCCTGAGGGCTTCATCAGTCTGAGGAGTCCCAAGTAAACTGTTTTCCCCACTAAGCAGTACACTCCTTTAATGGATCAACCAGTTTGCTGGTTTTGCTGGTGACTGATGAAGCCCTCCGGATAGAGGGCGAAACATCTTTCCACAAAAAAGAAACTGTGCAGATGACCTGACTGACCATTACTGTATTTTGCACCTGGATGATTGAGCATGAACTTTGATGCTTTAAAATAAAGTTACAGTGCTTTTGAAACGCAAGTGTCACTTTGTTCTTTTGGGTTTTAAATGGTGAGAAAATTCATGATTTATTGCAGAAATATACTGAGAAAACTTATTATGCATGGTGCTGCTTTGAAAAATACTCTATATATCTAAAATATTTTAACAGTGTTCAGACCAAGCTTATTAGCCCGGTAATTTGTTGACAGTCCCTAAGCGAACCATCACTCCTTGGAGGAGGGACAGACTGAGATCAGCTGACTGAAATCAGTTTGCTTGCGAGGAACACCACTGAATCCACGGAGCAAGAACGTGAAATATCCAATGTAAAACTAATTTTACCACTGTCAGTAGCACACACTGGATATCCTTTATATTTAAGGCTGATTTCAAAATTAAATTAAATTCAGTTTATTTGGAGAGTAATTTTCGGAAGAAGTTGATTTAAGTAACACTTGACGGTGCAACAATCTAAGATAAAGTAAAAATTAATCAGTCAATTATTAATTTTAATTTTTCAAAGCTAAAATAATTATTTCAACAGGAATTATTCAGTTTTTAATTCCTGAAATAATTTCAATTCAGTTCAATTCAATTCAAAAATACTTTATTAATCCCAGAGGGAAATTAAATAATAATAATAATAATTTAGATGAAGTAATTTGGATCAAATAGTTTACACTGGAATTTGAATAAGGGCTGATATTTAATTCAGTGTATGTGTGTAGAATAACTGCTGTGGTAAAAAAAAAAAAAAAAAAAGTACCTATAAAAGGATAAAAGTAGTGTAAAAGACAAAATGGTGGAAGTTGTAGAAAAAAAGACTGTTGTGAGAAGTTCAAAGCGGAGCTGTTAAATACGGTGGCCCTAAGGTGTAAATGAACAACATTTAAAAAAACTGAATTGCATTTCTATCAAAAAGAAACTGTCCAGATGACCCGACTGAGAATTATTGGGTTTGAAAAAACACAACAAAAACAACAAAATCACAACAGTTGAAAAAACGGGATTACATTAGAAAAAAACAGAATGACATCTGAAAAAACAGAATTATATTAAGCCAAACAGGAAGGTTTTTTAAATGTATTTTTTTAACTTTATTAACAGCATGAAACCGAACAACAGAACAATATACAGTACATCCTGATGCATGCTCAATAATCCATGTAGAAAAATCTAAAAAGTTAAGTCAGGTCCTCTGGAGGCCTCAGTGTTCAACTGTCCTCCTCTTACAACGCTGTTACTTCTAGTATCACTCAACTCCCTGTGAATAGCAAGCAGCCATCAGTGTGCTAACGATCCATTGTTAGGCTGATGGTCCTCCTTGATCATGTGAACAGCTAACAATTTTCAGTCAGGTCATCTGGACAGTTTCTTTTTTTTTCCTGAAACGTTTCACCTTCCATCCAGAAGGCTTCATCAGTCAAGGAAATGCCTTCCGGGTGGAAGGTGAAATGTTTCAGAAAAAAAAATAAAATAAACTGTCCAGATGACCTGACTGAAAATTGTTGGATTGTATACCTGGATTATTGAGCATGGACTTTTTTGGATGTGAACAGCTAGTTTTGAATGTCAACAACAAACTGGTTGATCCACTATGAGAAGGTGCTATTTATAAGACTGAGCTGAATACAGCTCCTCAGACTGAAGAAGCCTTTTTTCTAATGTGATTCTGGCCATTTCTGCTTTGGCTTAATGTAATTCCGTTTTTTCAAAGGTTGTGATTTCGTTGTTTTTGTTGTTTTTTCAAATTTAATTCCGTTTTTTTTCTTCAAATGTTCATTTACACCTTAGGGCCACCGTAGGGTTAAAGGCTCTGAAAGGAAAGACAACTGGGTTACCACAGCAACAGTGATTGGACAGACTGATAGGTACTTGTCATCTGGACAGAGAAAAGAAGATAAGGAAACCTGGTGGTGGAATAGTGAAGTACAGGAAGTTTTTCAGAGGAAGACGTTGGTGAAAAAGAAAGTGGACAGTGAGAGGACTGAAGAAAGAAGACAGGAATAAAAGGAAATGCAAGGTAAGGCATGTAGAGCGGTTGCAAAGGGTTAACAAAAAATGTATGATGAGTTGTATGGGAAGTTGGACACTAAGGAGGGAGAAAAGGACTTGTATTGACTGGTGATACAGAGGGATCAGGCTGGAAAGGATGTGCAGCAGTTTAGGCTTGATAAACATAGAAATAGTGATGTTCCAACAAATGTGATGGGAAGATGGAAGGAGTGCTTTGTGGAGTAAATGAATGAAGAGAATGAAAGGGAAAGAAAAGTAGAGGTCATAGAAGCTGTGGACAAAGAAGTGGGAAAGTTTGGTAAGAATGAAGTTTGGAAACCTTTGAAGAAGTTTAGGGAAAAGGCAGATGGATCTGATGACATACCAGTGAAGGTATAGAAATGTCTTGGAGAGATAGCAGTGAGGATTTTGACTCAATTATTCAATGACATAATTGAGAGTGAGAAAATGGCTGAGGAATGAAGAAGTGTGCTGCTGCAAATTTTTTCATGATGTA